CCCCCTAGATGGGCTCCTGTCCTGGGGCACAAATAATAAACAGTTTACCCTTTCCTTGGAACCTTATAGTTTCATTACCTTGCTTTTACTCTAAATTAGATCCTGCTCAAAGGGAGTTGCTGCAGGGCAGGTCTTCTGTGATAATTTCAGTGAATTACAGCTGCTATATACCAAATGCACCTATTTTGTGTGATATTGGTATTGTGCTACCAGGTGAAAAAACAGGACATGACTTCTTGGAAGTGAGGGCGATGAGTTGTGTATATAGGTCATAGCACAGATGGCTGGAGAGATTGCTTGACACTAGGACAATGGACTCCTTTGATGGGGGAAAAAAATTGCCTGTCCCTCTGTAATGTTAAGGATAGCCTTAAAAGATAAGGTGTCCCCAAGAGGTTCAGTTAATTTGGCTCTCCCTCCCTGTAGTTTCCAGGATAAGATGAAAGTGGGAAGACACTTAGAGAGGAATAGCAGGAGCACAATCTGCATTCTTAAAAAGTATAGTAAGTTCTTCATTTGAGGGTGAAATTTATTTCCTTGTCTCTCCTACTGTTGCATATTCCTCTAAAAACTAAAGAAAATAAACCCCCCAAAATGCTGCAGGATTCCTGCTAAATTCTCAGTACTAAGGAAAACTAACAGTAAGATTTTCTATGCAGCCTTAATTACAAATTCTTGGGTATACTGATTATGATGCCATTATTCCTTATGTAACTAAAGTCTGTATTTTATATACAGGCCTCCACATTTTTTGTTTCAGCAGCCTTGCAGAGACTAGGAAACCGTTTGTTAGGGACTCAAAAGGAAGTCCATGGTTTCTTTCAATATTCTAAGAAGCTGTGCAGTCATTAACAATGACGAAGTGCCCCTAAGATTCAGGATCAGGATTCAGAACCTCTCCTATTCTTGCCACAGAGTCCTGCAAATCTCTAATAATCTTCCTCAAGTTTGCTTCTGGCGTTTTTTTGTACTTGTTGCATTAGGAGCACAGGAAAGACCAGCCATGAATGTTTACAAATCACTGAGTTTTGTCCCCATCTTAGTACAGAGCCTGGATGACAGAAAGTGGGAAAGAAGTGCAAACAAAATGAATAGCCAAACAAGGGAAAAAACTTTGAATTTTGGCTCGTGTCAAGTTTGTTAGCATTGAACACTGAATAAGGCAGGCTGTAAAGATAAACACTATCCACTAATGCCTTAAAACATTTTGTCAAAATGCAGACACAAAAGTTGCTGAATTATCATTGACTTTTCAGGGCTTTGGCATCTCCAGAATTGCTGCAAAGCTCTTTGAACATATAAAATTCTGTGTTGTCTGTGCCAAGTGCTCCTGTCACCAATCAAAGTTTCAGTTTGCATGCATTATGTGAAGTTCCCAGAGCTGGTTGCAGAGCAATGGTGCAAATTCTGTCTTTAAATTGCTACTTACTGCCTATGAAATGAAAGCAACAGAGTTCCTGTCCTCTTTAGTAACAAATTCCATTAATATTATTATTATTAAGGTCATTATGTTTCTCTGTTTTTTCTAATTCATGATGTGGCTTAAAACTTAGTGAGAATGAACAGATAAATATGAAGCAAGCACAGCTGTCATTTTGCAATTTCTATTCAGGCAAATTAAAGAGCCTATCCTATTTTGTGTCTTAAACTTTTGATTTTTTCAGTGTATGCAACAACAAAGAGAAAAAAACTGGTGTGAAATTGTTCAATTCTCCATTCTGATTCTCTCTTATTTTGATACAGTGTAGTCAAAAGTACAGCTTCTTAAAAATAAGACTTGTGAATCAGACAAAAAATTTTTATGATTTTTATTGTAATAACTCATCTTTTGATTTAGAGTTCTACAAGCTTTTGTGTCTGAAAGTGTTGGCAAATGTCTCAGAAAGATCTAAAAAAGACACTTAACTACTGTAACATTTCAGAAGCTTTTTAATATAAACATAGGTTTCTGAACAAAACAGTTCTGTATTCACACTCCCCTTTGACTGTAGAACTGAGATTTTTTTATTCCTGATGCATATTTTCAGAAAAGACTTTTTCTTGGAACAGCACGAGGCAATCCATCCGATACATTTGGATCTTGTTTTTTACTTTTTACACCCATCTAGTGGTCACCAGACTGTACAACAGGATAAAATTTCTATTGCACAAACTTGTTGTTACCTGGTGATCCAAACCAAAGAACTGCTGATGACACTCCAGTTCTACCTTAAAGACTTCTAAATTTTAAAAATTCACCATGTTACAATCTGAAAGTGAAATCACTGATAGAAGCCTGCCATAGTTTCTGACTGGAAGAAACAAGATTGGTAGTATAACATTCATATGATGTTCACAAAAGGGAGATGAAGAAAATAAAACAAAACTGCAAATAAAACGGTATTCTTTTAATCCAACTAAATACCTTTGATTCAGTTGAATATTTAAGTCCACTGTTAAATAAATCAATTTAGTATTAACTCTTTATTCAAAAATTCCATCCTGTGAGCGGGATTTATATTAATCTTCATTTACTTATATCCAGCTTTTAAGTTTTGTTTTAAAGTTCCCAGGCATGCTTATATATATTTGAAATTATACTACCATTGCAGAAATTAGTCTTAATGAGAACAATCTTCTGTTTTTCCTAAAATTGAAGGAATTATCTGCCCTCCTGCTTTTAATAGAAAAACAAAATGTGCAGACTATGTATTGATTAGGAATCTGTTTTCCTGAAGCTGTTTAAAGGGGAAAGTTATTCAAGCAATGAAATATAAATTTTAGGAAATCTGGATATGATGAGCTAAACCCCTCATTAGTATTGTGATTATTTTCTGCTCCTGCAATATTTAGGAATTCAAGCTAAAAGGTATTGATTGATTACAGGAAATAGTATAACAATGGTAATGTGGCTATGAACTAATGACACTACAAACTGCAAAGGATATTTTATTATAGCATTCATAGTATCTTGACCTTTCCAATACATTCTCACATACTCTTCGTGAGCAAATCTCAGTCATCACAAACATGCAACAAATGAGAAAAAAGAAAGATAAAGAGGAGCTCCAGACAGTCCAAGATCACCTAGGAAGCTGGAGGTACAGATCTCATTTGGTGTCTCATGGTTTAAGCTTCTTTAGTTTGAGGCCGATATGCAGTAGGACATTTAAAGACACAGAAGAAAGTATACAGGCATAATCAAATTTAATCAGTCCTGGGAAGAAGTGTATGTTCTTGGGTTTACTGACAGGTAATTGTTATAAAAACTACAGGGAAAAGATAATTAAATTACTATGCTCTCCTGAAGTTTTTAAATAATATTTTCTGCATTTATTTTATTTAAAAGAGAAACAAACAAGCCAACTACATTTGCTTTTCTACATTCAAACTGTAAGTACTGAACACGAAGAAAATAATATAGTCTCAATGTGGCAGTAATCTTTCAGGTCCAGAAATACGTGTAAAGTAAAAAATAAACAATGAAATAAGTCATGAAGCAAAAATCTATGCCTCTGTCAGACAGTGTGCATCTGTGTCAAAATAAGTAATATATGTTTCTTAGATTAGTTCATTTAACAAAGGGAAAAAGTGGTCATAGGAATGCTGTCAGCATTTAGCAAAGGATTGAAATGGCAACCTCATTGAAACCATAAGTCAATGGGTGATAAAATAAGCTGGTTCAGAGTAGCATGTACCAGCTGTGACACTTGTGCTAGACTGAAGTCTAATCAACAGCTGATTTACACTGCATCTTTTCTGCTGTCATTAGCTGTAACTGGAAACCTGTGGGTGTCCTTCAAATGAACACCATTTTAAAAATGAGTACTTTACATGGGTTCAGAAAAAAATGCATAATATGGTGCTAGCACTTATCTATGTTTAAAAAATCATATGAAAGATCCTCTATTCATCCCTCATTCTTAAATGCTTTACCAGTGTTATTTTTGTCCCCATTAGTATAGCAAATGAGCCTAGAGACCTAGTCTTGCTAACCCACACATTTGTAACCTCTCAGATTGCATACCACAGGACATCCAAACATGAAGCCACACGCTGCAAAAAGCCTCCATATAGTATCAAATGCAGCTGTTGGGCTGTCAAGCAGCACAGGTTGCCATGAACACGTCCTCTCAGCACCACCCACCCTGTACCAGTGTTTAATTGTTTGCAGACTCCCGTTCAAGGTCTTGGCAATGATTTTCAAAGCCCTTTGTGGAAAAATTACAGTCTATGTAAAACAGAATCTACAGTCTCCTTCTCTTTCTTTCTGTTCCCTCGTCCTTCAGCCTCTCATGAAAAAAGTGTTATCTAAGAATGATAAGCCTCTTTACCACTCTTCATACCAAACACAACAAAAGTGCTGAATCTAAACTGTGTGGTTCAAAGACACAAGTGGCTACAGAGGTTCTGCTGCTTGGCCATTAACAAAGGATTCACTGCTTCCATCTGTTTGTAAAACAGCAAATCTAATGCAGGCAGATGTGCTCAAGCACACACATATGTTTTAGTCCCACCCCAGCACCCAGCACTTTATTTACTGGGACAAGATAAAGTATGTACTTGAAATATTTTTGTAGTTACAAAAATTAGGTTTGGGTCTCCATAAGTAAAAAGCCCTCAGCTGCCTTAGCAGTGGGAGACAGGATAATTAGTGTCCAGCTCAGGAGAGACGGGAGCTGAATAAGTAAATAATGAAACATCATGTTTCCTCTGGTGTAGAGCTCATGGATACCCTACATGCAGAAAAATATAAGGTTTCCTGAATTTCTAATAGCATAGGATTTTTCTCTGCCAATTTTCTTTTTCTTTAGACTTGGGGGGTTGTTTTGTTCCTCAGTAATTTTGAAGTATCTCTCTTGTACAACTTGTGTTTTTTCACAGCAGTGGCCATGACCAGGTCTTTATTTCTCTATTACTATCAAGAAGCAATTAGCTATGATAATTTGTCAGAAGGGTTTTTTTTAAATTTTAAAATTCTTAGGTCAATAACATAAAAATAATTCCTCTTCTCTTTGCAGTTTCGATGTAGACAATGGTACATCATCAGGACGAAGTCCCTTGGACCCCATGACAAGTCCTGGGTCAGGACTCATTCTTCAGGCAAATTTTGTCCACAGTCAACGTAGGGAGTCTTTCCTTTACCGGTCAGACAGTGATTATGATCTGTCTCCAAAGTCCATGTCCAGGAATTCCTCCATTGCCAGTGATATGTAAGTACCTTTTAAAATACTTCTAGTCTATAATTTGTCTAATATCAAGATTTTTGCAGCCACAAGAATTTATTTTTTTTTTTTTAAATCAGACTGTAATCACTTGTGCTAGTGAAGGAATGGAAAATTGTTTGTTTATTTCTTTAATGAAGATTATAATTGTTCCTGCAGCTTTTTGAAGAATATGAAGAATATGAAGAAGGTGTACTTGACATGCTTACGCACTCTATTAGCTGTGACAGAATAATAATGATAGTCAATACTGTGTACTAAAACACTAAGGAGAACTGTTTTCTGTCCCTAAAGTTATTTTCAAGAGAAACAATACAAACTCAATTTATGCTTCTTTATTATTTTAAGAAATAGATTCCATTTATTTACAACTGGACTCTTTTAGGTTTTTAGAGAAAAGATTTACCAACTGGCAGAAAATAATATATTTGAGAGAGAAAAAAATATTTCAAATACCCTCTCAACTAAAAGACAAAATTCTAACAAAAGACATTTTTAAGCTAATTCTGATCTCTGTCACTATTCTGTGAAGTGTGTATTTTCTGCTAGTGAGTCATGCTTTTCAAGTATGTGTGGAGCCCAGGTTCCACGTGTAGTGGAAGTCAGATGCAAATCTCTGTTTTATTTTCAAGATGCCAAAAGTATTAAAGTTTCACTTTTAAGTAAGAGAAATTAATAACTCTTTTCTGTTTGGCTGGGGTTTTTTTCTAAATGGCTTCAAATTTCATGGCCAAATTGGTGCTTATGGTTCAAATATAGATCTAAAATAAAATATCAGGCTTGTCAGAATGCCACAGTGCTGTTTTTTTGTGAGGCAAAGACCAACAGATATTACCTTTGAAAAATAAGAGTAGGCACAGAAAAGGATAAGGGTTTTCATGAGTGAAATTACAGCTGATATTTAACTTGAAGTCATAAATGAACACTCCTATTTTTTTCAGCTTATATAACTTTAAGAACTGTTATTTTGTTTAATTATAGCTCTTCTTCTGTGTAGAGTGTCAAGATAAGAAAAATTCCTGTCTTTAGAGAGGGTTAGTGGAAGGTCTATGACTCAGTTAAGATTGAAGTACTCAGTAAGCTTTGTGTCAAGTGGGACCAGTTTTTGTTGAGACAAAATGGGTTAGGAAAAGAGCAGTTCATCTTGCTTCATTATTAAAAAAATGCATTTTTCTTGGGGATAGTATCCCCCTTCCAGCGAATCTGACAGATATCCTGTTTTTTTGGAGGGAGAAGATTCAAGCTTTTAGTATGGTACCTGTACCAGGATAACATTTGTAAAGATTTTTACATTCAGGAGGACAATCCAGCTGACTGCGTTGCCTAGATGAGTCATTTCAATGAAAAATTCAATTAGTGCTCCATCCTTGAACTCATAATCCACTTCATTTCCTAGAATTTTGGGTAATATTTCAGCACATGGCAGTAAATTGGATAAACAATATAATTACTGAAAAAGCACACATTTTCCCCCTTTTTCCCTCTCTATTCTTCCTTTCAAAATTTTCTGGAAACAGATTTACATATAAAATTTATTTGACCTCACATCTTGACAGATTTTCACAGTCTTTTGTCACAGATGAACTTTTGTACTAAGAAGATAAATATTCCTGACACTGTTTAGGAGGGGAGCACATTAGGAAATGTAAAAGGCAAGTTGTTCTCAGATGGAATAATCATCATTTATCAATAAGTCTAATTATAATAAGCTTGGCTGTATCACAGAAATTAAGTGAAAGAAAGAAAGGGAATAAAAAGAGGGGAAAGTTTAAAAAGATAAAATAGCAAGGAATAAAAAATAAAAGTCATGAAAGTCCTTATGCATGTATTCAACCATAAACCGAGTATGCTTATAGAAAGGAAACAAATTGAATATTATTAAATAAAGAAACATCTCTGATTCAGGACCTTACAAAATGAGGTAGAAGATTAAAGGGTTTACCAGGGAGGTACACAAATTTTAAGTTAGTCTCAAATTATCCTGTTTGCCTTGTGCATCTATATACATGCTTAAATATTGTTTGTTTTTTAAACATGAGCAATATATATTACAAAATATCTACATCATTCAGGTAATGTAAGTCAGTTAATTGTGCATAGCAGTTTAGTCTAGATCCCCATATTCGTCAACCAGCCTCAATATTTCACTTAGTAAAGAAAAAGACAAAGCAAAAGGCACATGTCTTATATTTGTAAGGGATAGAACATAAAGAATTCTGGCATTTCCGTCACTCTGAAATACTGAACTTACAGTAATACATTCCAGTCAGCAGCAACAAAAGCAATACTTCAAAGATTTAGTCAAATGTGGAATGTCATGTTAAGACAGCCAGTGGATGGCAGTGCTAAAGTGCTGAATTCATCGTGTCATTATTTATTATGTATGCAGCTCCAGCCAAGGAAGGGAACAAGTTGTGCTCAGTTGTTTGCAAATCTGAAATGAAAAGATGGGCTCTGCTACAAACAACTTATCAAGTCAAAATATAAGATGATAACCAAGAGATTAATACAGTCAGATACTATCCCCAGGAGAAGATACAGTCCGAGTCACTGTGCTCAAAACAGTAAACCTCACAGAGACAGCAAAGGGAGTTTCAGTCAGGGAGCTGGGATGGAAAGTAAAGAAACAAGAGCAGAGAAGGGACAGGTGGAAAGGTTTTTAAAATCAGAAAATCCGAAGAATATTTTGATGAATTAGTTGTGGGAAAGAATAAAAAGACAGGATCAATGCAAGGCTGCTTTGTTGAGAGGAGTTTTGTGGGACAATTATGGGTACAGTTAAGCAGAAAATGCAGCTGAGTGTAAGAAAGGAAAAGCACATAAAATGGAGAAATGGGGGTCAGTAACATTGTTTCAATTATCCCTTGGAAGAAATAACATGGTCTTTGAGAATAATAAAAGCAGGACATGGAGGTTATATACAGAGATTAGGAAAAGCTGCTGAAGTTTGTGAACTGGAGAGGCAGAGTTTAGACAGGAAGATGCAAGGTCCAAGGCACATGAGCACATGTGTGTTGTGAAGCCTCTCTGTGGGATTTCCAGCTGAGATAAGAATGTACAAAAGAAAAAGAAGCTACTGAGGCAGTGGGGGTTAGTGAGACAATATGAAGAATTATAGTTCAGGATCTGTGATGGAAGACACGAAAACAAGTTTAAAGGGATGGAGAATAAAAAAAAAAAAAAAAAAAAAATTCCCAACAGCAGCACAAAGAAAGGGAGTAGTATCTAGATTAAAGATGTGCAAAATCATTATTGGAAAAATTGTCAGGCCTATATGTGAAGATATTAGTGAAGCAGAGAGCTAGGTGAATGTCTTGCTGAGGTGGCCTGATTGCTTAATGCTTGTTTGAACTGCTGTGTCTGCCCAGAACTTGCAAATGCCGGAAGATGTAGAAGTGATAACACTTTTTATGCCCTTCTTGTTAAGGGATCACTATTGTGGTTAATGGAGCAAGAGATTGAATTAGTAGAGAACTTCTGTTTTAGCAAAACCCAGGTCCTATTCAGGTTAAAAAACAGGTTCCTAGAAAAAAAAGGCCAATAAGCTGTTCACTGCAGCATCACAGCCCATGTTTTTTGCCACTCTGAAGGTTGAGAACATGTATAATCCCCCTGTGACTCTGAAAAAGCAGAGCAGAGGGTAGCAGTCTAGACCAGAGGACCAAGACATTCTCAGTAGACAGGTCTGTCCAAGCTCCATTGTGTCTTCTAAGTGTAAGAAGACATCTTCTGACCTCTCATTTAAGACCTCCCATTTCCACAAGCTCTCAGAATACAGCTAACACACAGCATCCTGGTCTTCTCAGGACTTGGCCAACTGAACCTCACTCATAAAAAAGCAGCTGCTGGGGAGTTTTACAGCCTTCTTTAGAGAAGCTCAGCATTTTTTCCTTCACCAGCTTATCACTATAAGCTTCAGCTAGTATTATTACACAAAAATTGCTCTATTAAAACTGTTTCTATTCGAACTATTTCTATTAAAACTTGCTTGCATGCATTAAAGGAGCAGAACCCAGGCAAGGAACACTGACTGTGGGGAACTGCAGGGTGACTGTCTGGTGATCTGCTAAATGGCCACCATACACCCATTCCCTGAGCTGGACAACCTACTGATACTCTGACAGTAACTTCTGAAGACAGCAGCATCCCTCTGCTACTGTCTGTGATAAAAGAAATATCAAGAGGATGAAGTTTACTCCGGGACATTTTCCTATAACTACGGTTACAGAAGATATATATTCTCATCCTCTAAGGCAAGCTTATTCTTTTGTTTCTGAGCCAGTAAGGCCTGGTTTTATTAATAAAATATTGTGATTATGAATCTTAAGTTATGGAGAAAACACCCACCTTTTTCAAGAAAGCAAGGATTCTAGGACAGCAGACAAGACATGCATTTACTGAGACAAGTAATTGCACTTCAGTTTAACAAATTAGTAATAATTGTCTTTTCTCCAGAAAACTTGCAGCTGAAATTCCTTTTGATGTATCATATTCTTTTCTAGGAATCTCTGATATTACTGTATCATGGATATTACTTGCTGAAAATTGACAGCCTTCAAAGTCCAGTCTACTCTAAAAAGATCATTTGAGAAGCATTTTCTATGTGTGACTCTGCTTAGAAACAATATTTAATTTAAAAAGTACATTAAATTTCTTGAGACATTTATTTCTTCATGGAAAGAAATGTACATACATCACTTTAGGAAAAACAGGCAAATATTTTGATTCATTGTGTTTTGCTTTGTTTGATTTTAAGATCCATAAATGAAGTTCCAGGTTGCACCTTAAATTAATCTAAGTCATTTGCAAGTCACTTACAATATTTTTTTGAGTTATAAACAAAAAAATATTTGGAAAATAAAAAGATGGCTCTGTCCTTTCTGGTTGTTTGACACGTTTTAGAGGTGGAATTCAAAACAAAGGACTTAGAATGCAACCAGCTTAAAGCTGAATAATAAACTTGTGTTAACTTTGTTTGTTGATAAGGA